TTCTGATTCTGCTCTATTACATGCATTTGATGTGTATTGGGACAGTAGAAAGGTGCCACTAACTGTACATGTTGTTGACACTGGTCCTCGTTTGCTAAAGTCTAAGTGTTGTAATGCCAATGCCTCTCAGTCTTCTCAGTCTATTATTATCACTCAGGAGAGTCAGGTTAATTGTCAGCCAATAGCTATGATCTTCCGTGATGAACTTGTACTGCCTAATCTAGTAGCTGATGACAATGGTGAAGTTGTTGATCTTAATGATGATGGTAATTGTGAGGCTGATGCTAATGGTGATGAGGGTCTTAATCTTGATAATGATGGTGAAGATGATGATGCTATTGCTGAAGAAGAAGAAGAAGAAGATATTGCTGAAGATGACTGGGGAGAGGCTGATGAAGTGGAGTATGTAGGAGTAGATGATGAGAATGAGAAGTACAAGGATGGGGTCAATGATGATGGTGATGCTGACCCTGCTTACTATCCTGATAGTAACCCAAAAGATGATGACCCATTAGTTGTGGACGATGGGAGGGACTGTGACGGTGTTGTTCATGTCACTGACATAGATAACCCTAAGATAGGTCTTGGTGTTACTTTTGAGGATGGTTTCTGCTTTAAGAGATGTATTAGACAATATGCTGTGCTTAATGAAGTTGAACTTGTAGTTCCATATAGTACGTCACGGCGGTACCGAGCATATTGTAAGGCCAAGAGATGTCGGTGGAGGATTCATGCATTCATGCATCTCAATTACCTGATGGCAAGACATGGCAGGTATGTGAGCTTTGCAATGCTTCATTTAGTTTAATTTAGTTATCAATTGTTGTGTGCTAACCGTTGGTTGATGGCTGCAGATTAAGAAGCTACCACACAAGCATAATTGTGCCAGCACAAGCAAATTCCAGAACAACTGTATGGCTAACAATCACTGGGTGAAGGACAGAGTTATAAACCGGCTTAGGGAAGATCCAACTATTGGAGCTAAAGATTTGAAGCAGAAGTTGGAGGAGAATTTTTGTGTACAGCTGAGCTACTACGTGGTTTGGGACGGCAAGCAAATGGCCTTAGATGAGATCATGGGTGGCTGGCAAGATAGCTTTGTACATGTGTTTTCTTGGAAAAAGGGAGATTGAGAAGAGGAGTCCTGGCAGTGTTGTAGAGATTGAGTGGGAGATTATAGATGAGAAGAGAAGATTCAGTAGGATATTTGTAGCACTGAAGCCATGCATAGATGGCTTCCTGCAAGGTTGCGGACCTTATTTAGGAATTGATTCCACAATTTTGACAGCAAAGTGGAAGGGACAGTTAGCATCAGCTGTAGGGATAGATGGCCATAACTGGATGTTCCCAATGGCCTATGGAGTATTTGGCAGTGAGACCAAAGAGAATTGGGAATGGTTTATGAAGATGCTGCACAAGGCTATTGGTTCCCCCAAATGATCTTGTTATTTCAACTGATGCAGGTATGTTGCATTCATTGTGCTCTTGTTTTTCAATTTAGTGTTGTATGTTCCCCACCTGACATTGTTTCCATGCTTACTAACTGTAGGCAAAGTAATAGACAAGGCTGTTACCAAAGTTTTCAGTAATGGGGTGGAGCACAGAGAATGCATGAGGCATTTAGTCAAAAATTTCCAGAAGAGGTTTAGGGGAGAAGTGTTTGAGAGGAACTTATGGCCTGCATCAAGGTGCTATAGACAGACAACCCATGATAGGCACTGGAATGAGATGCACAAGGCATGCCCCAAGGCAACTAGGTAGCTGCAGGACAATCACAAGCAGCTATGGGCAAGGTGTAAGTTTAGCACAGCAAGCAAATGTGACTATGTCACAAACAACATAGCAGAGACTTTCAACAGTTGGATCAGGGAAGAGAAGTCATTACCTGTTGTAGAGCTAATGGACAAGATAAGGCAGCTGATCATGGAGAGATTTTGCACTAGGATGCAACTGTTGTCCAAGTTTTCTGCCTTCAAGATTCTGCCAGCTGTCATGAAGGAGCTGCACAACAAAAGCAGAAATCTGAAGTACAACATTCACAAGAGTGGCCCAATGGTTGGTGAAGTTGGAGGAGTCAACAAGGACCTGGTCCCTTGGAGGTTCATTGTTGATCTAGACAAGAGAGAGTGCACCTGTAGGGTCTGCCATGTGTTCATGCCCTAGCTTTCATTGGCACCAGAAGGGTAGACTTAGAGGACTATGTTTTACAATGTACTATTGATATTAATTTGGTCTTGTGAATATTGATGGTATTTTTTATAATTTGATTAAATTTTAAGTAGTTTAGGATAACTTTAAAAGTTGATTCATTTTCCTTTGATTCCTTTGTCCCACGTATACACAATTCTCGGCTTGACTGAGGGAGTAATTACTTATTTTCTTTGATTGTTTTGTCACATGTACAGGCTTTATGGCATCCATGATGGTGAAAAACAGTCCATTCAACATCTTAGCAGAAGATAACGAGGGTTTAAGAGCATCCATTCAACCACGCGAATCATTGTACGCCAATGCTTGAGAGGAAGTTCAAATGCCATGCATACAATCCAAGCAACGAAGACGACAGTAGTACTGCGAATATTTACAGGACACGAGAATGCAGATTAAAGACAGACAGACACGAGAATACAGATTCAAGGAAGACATCAACGATAACGAGAACTAAGGACGGCACCAAGTAAGGAGCTAAGATGACGATGACATCGATCGAGGAACTAGTGGACTAGTAGTCGCGGTCGAAGAGCCTCCGGCCAACCTCGAACGACGCGAAGGCGTCGACGCAGGCTCGCAAGCTGATGTATCACCCGTCCTGTTCTGCTGCAGCAGCTTGCCACCACATGTGATTTAAGAGATGAGAAAAAGGCTGTAGCAGCAGAGTCTTTTCCTGTAGCCGATCACAGCATCCTTCCAACGGGGCACGCAACCTGTTGGGTCATGCGCCTCTGTCTCATCCAGTCATCCATCCACCCACACTAGCTTTTGAATTAAAACCAGACAAAGTGGCAGGCACCGCAGACGTCCATGCTCGGCGCCAGAGTTCGTGGCGCCGAGGTCGGCGCCACAGATCTTGGCGCTGACCTCGGCGCCATGTATTATGGACAACGAGGTACCGGCCACGTCAACGCCACCTAGGATCTCGGCCAGGCACCTCGAGAGCCAAGATCTGTGAGCGCCGAGACGTGTTACCTCGGCGCCATGAGTCATAACGCCGACCCCAGGGTCCAAAGATGAGTTTACTTCTCCGGGGACCAAACGTAAATTTTCAAAAAATAGCTAAATTGTAAAAAAAAAATGGGCAATTTCGCGATGGCCTCGGGGGCTCGGAAGTCGGAATCGACGGGTTTGAGTTGACTTGTCTTGGGCTTCGGCCTGAAATGGTGGTGATGGGCTAAAATAGTAAAATCTGCCAAACTCTGTTTACAAATTTTTAATTTAAAAAAGTTTGTTTATCTTCGCTTCAAAAAGAAAAATAGTTTGTTATATCTTGTGTTTTTACTTTTACAGAAGAATTACTCCTTTGCAATCTCCTGAAATCTTGCTTTTCCATCTGTCACTCGCGTCCCAACGCTCTTCCTCCCACGCGCCGTGCCCGCGCTAGAGACAAGATGAAGATGAAGAAGGCGTTAGGGTTTCGTAACACATCGTCTTGGGCAATCGGGCTCATAGGGTCATCCATGAGAGCATCGCCAATAGCGGCTTCTTGAGCTATTGGTTCATCTAATAAGTTGACCATCCTTGCCAACCTAAGACCATCCTATGCATTGTTACCTGCTTGTAGGGCCTCTGGGGCAAGGCTTTTGATGATCTTGTGATCTTCCAACAACGGCTTCTTGAGTCATTGGTTCATTTAATAAGTTGATAAGCCCCACAGATATCATAGCATCATCCCATGAAATGTCATCTACTTGCTGGAGGCAGGCCGGTCAAGCGGTGGGGACGGCAGGAGGGTGGCTTATGGTCCTAGCACTAGCGAAGGCGGCCATGCAAGTCAGGGCAGGGATGTCCATGGTCGGAGCTCGTCGTGGAAGGAGGAGGAAGGGAAAGAAGGCCGCCGCCGCTAGGGCGCGTTGTCTTCCTCCGCACTCCTCCTCGTCCTCGCCCCTACCGCACGAGAAGGGGGCGGAGGAAGAAGAGGGACGAAAGGAGGTTGAAGATGACTCCTGCGCTGTAGGATTAGGATCCAACGGCTGCCATCGTCGCCCGATGAAAATGCAAAACTGCAATCACCTGCACTGGAGACACACCCTTTTTATTTTATCATAAACCCTATGTATAGGAAATTTCAGGGAGAGTAATGTGCCATTCATGCTGTGTAGTTTGTACCTACCAAACTTATACCAACTACTAAGTCAATGCCTCAACGAGGCTTGCATGTCTACTGTGTTATTACTGCTACAAAGAGTTGCAAGCAAAAATATGATATCCGATCTCTCATTATTCCATTTTAATTATGCCATGCGTATCTGCATATGCGCCATACAAATAATTTGGATTAATTAATGATCTCTTCATATCACAAAGATTTTCAAGGAAGAAATCATATCCGATGAGGTTCTCCACATTAATTCGAGGCTAGGGTGTAAAATAAGTTACAAATGGTACCACAAAAAAAAGTTACAAGCGATGTGAAAATCTATCAGGGTTTTGCGTTCAAAAAAAAGGAAGAAAATCGATCCGGATGTGAAAAGGCAGTAACTAGCACTCGATCACATAGGGAGAAGGAATCCAGCGATGTTCCATGGTAATGGCTGTAGCCTGTAGCATACAAACTGCCCATCAAATCATGGAGCTCACGGCATAGACATACCAGTTTTTCTCCAACCTGGGCAGGTTCAACATAACACAATAATCATATGAAACCAAACAGTAGAGTATATAACGATTAATAACTTCTACACGGTCTTACGTGCTCTCGATCACAATTGAGTTGCTTATTTCTGTCAATGGGTTCTTATTTCTAACATCCATATTATCTGTTACCATCACTTGTTCAGCCTGATTCAGAAGAGCATGCCATAGTCAACCGCTGGCATTGCAGGACTCCAAGCCCATAACACATCGTCTTGGGCAATCGGGCTCACAGGGTCATCCATCAGAGCATCGCCAATAGCGGCTTCTTGAGATATTGGTTCATCTAATAAGTTGACCATCCCCGCCGACCTAAGATCATCATCCCATGCATTGTTACCTGCTTGCAGAACCTCTGGGGCAAGGCTTTGCTGATCTTGTGATCCTCCAACGGCGGCTTCTTCAGTCATTGGTTCATCTAATAAGTTGATAAGCCCCACAGATATCAGAGCATCATCCCATGGAATGTCATCTACATGCTGGAGATCCTCCATGCCAAGGCTTTGCTGCTCTTGCGATCCTTGAGTTACTGGTTCATCTATGTTAATCAGACCAACCGATCTCAGAGCATCATTACATGCGTTGTCACGGAGATCCTCTAGGCCAAGGCTTTCCAGCTGACTCATCCGAAATGAATCTGCTTCCTCCCGGCCATCAGAAGGGCCTGTCAGGTCCAGATCATTGCTGTCTAGGTGCGCCCAAGCAACAGAAAAATCCATTGATGCATTGTACTCCGGGTCCACAATACCTTCAACAACAAGAAAGAATTTTAGTCCCAAGCAAGTTATTGCAGGCTAGGAATGAAACGTCACGAGTCAATAAATAAAAGATAGAAAGATAGAAAGGTATTAGTAAGAAAAGGAGGATAAATAGGTAAATAAGTTCTTTTTAAAGAGAAGCCAGCAGATTAAACTGCAGTTCTATATATTAATAAAGGAGGAGTAGAAAAGGTAAATAAGGTATTAGCACCACCAGCAGTTTCGGGGGCTTCATTTGGATCCCCTGCATCTGTGATAACAATATTGTTCTTCACAGGCCACCGATGTTCGCTCATAAACTGCCAACGTTTCTTTTTCTCAGAGAACACTATGCAGGTTATTTTCATACTTATCCCACATACACACAGACTCTGTGTCCTTAGTCTTCAGAGCCACTGTGTCCGCTGACCTTTTCTTCACCTCTGTCCACAGCCTTAAGGGGTACACTTCCCCGTCTGTCTCAACTCTGGGTGTGATGGATTCAGAAGTGCCTTCATCATGCCCCATTGGTTTTCTGCTGGCATTCTCTTGGCGCTGTCCTCCTTGCTTTGCATTCCGGTGGCGCAATCGATGTTTCTATATTACATTTGAGGAGAAAGTTGTCAAGCAAGGGACAAAGTTAGGTCACAGTATTAAAGGTCAAACTAATGATCAATTAATCACCCACCTGGAGATGGCTCCCTATATGCTTCGCAGTCAAACCCTTTATATTCATCAGGTGGAGGATCCCGTCAGGTGTAGGATCTGTTAGCCACCCAAAGAAAATAAACAGGACATGGTCATGTTTTAGCTAATAAAATAACAAATAACTAATTTAGATTTCAAGCCATGTGTACGTATGAGCTATACTTACACTCGTTCCCCCCAAGAGCTTCGACAGCCCCCAAGAACTTTTCATGGAGCTCAATGGTCCATGTCATCCGATTCCGCTTCTTTGGCTCTTCATATCCATTGCTTTCAGGATCGGATAAATTATTTCTCTCTAGGATAAGCACTTCCTTGGGCTTTTCAGTAGACGATGAAACCATTCCATTTCTGGTACTATTAAGAGTTGGTCCTTGAGGTGCTGCCTTTTTAAACTTGTGTTCCAGTGCTTGGTGCCACAGAATGCTGAAGCTTCTTCTGTCCAGTGGCTTCAGCACATGGAAGCATGCACCCAGGTTCATACATTTGGAAAGTGCCTCTTCATCATCACAAGAACACATTGCTGTCAACAAGGAGGAATAACCCTGGAACAGTGAGTTTGGGATAGGTGAGAAATTCTTAAAATAATAGAGCTCTGAATATAAACTCTTACCGGTAAGAGGGACTTCAAGTTCATTCAGCATGTAATAATGGAGCAGATCAGAGTTTGCGGAAGTGCCTGGTGCCATATTGTTAAGATTAACATCCACCAATACCAAATCAAGCTCTGCTTCTTTAGCAGCCCCGCCTTCAACGAAATCCAGGGCCGCTTCTGCTGTTTGGAAGGGGAAAACTATGCAACGATAAAGGTAATAAGATTAAAAATTTTGAAAATTCATACCACAGTGTATTTAGCACTGTTCTACAATTAATGGACCCTGCACTTGACAAATAGGCCCAACAAATAATTTTTAATTAGACTCCTAGGAAAAACTTCTCTCAGTGTAGATTGATTTCAGCGAGGCAGAAGGAACCAATAAACAACTATAAACAAACAGGAGCTCCTCTCAGTGTTCCAAATGATGGATCTATTCCAGCATGTTTTTTTAATGTTCTTTGTTGGGAGCCTATCCAAATTAGTAAAGCTAGTAAAAGTCCAATTAAAAAATGTATTCACACCTCCACATTTGAGTCCACATAATCCTCTACCGTACACCCAATCTTAAGCTACATGACAAAATGAAATATTCCAAAATTGGAATATAAAGCGTCATACCGTACACCAAAACATATGATACGTGACAAAATGATACATTCAGTAATTGAATTTAAAGCGTTATACTATACAATCAAGCATATGATACACGACAAAATGGAATATTCTGAGATTGGAATCTAAAGCACCATACCATAAACCCAAACTTATGATATACGACAAAATGGAATACTCAGAAATTGGAATCCAAAGCGTCATACTGTACGCCCAAACTTATGATATACGACAAAATGGAATCCTCTGAAATTGGAATCCAATGCATCCTACTGTACGTCCGAAGTTACTATATACGACAGAATGGAATATTCAGAAATCAGAATCTAAAGCGTCACGTAGTACACCCAAACTTGCGATACACGACAAAATGGAATATTCAGAGATTGGAACCTAAAGCGTCATATCATATACCTAAATTTATGATATGCAACAAATGGAATATTCTGATAACCGTAGATCGGAATCCAAGCAAGCACTCACAAATAGGAAAAGACAACAAACATCCTTGAAACATAATATGCTACAGAAGCCCCTTGAATAACATATAGTAGGTGTAGATTGATTTTTAGGGCGGAGGATCTGAGTTCCTCTACTTCTTTGTCAAGAGAAGGAATCCTTTCAATATTGCCAAAAAAAGATCTAGGTCAACATGTTTCTCCCCCATCACCTTCAGGAATCATACAGACTGCAAATATGATACCACAGCTAACATATATAGGAATTCTTTTTTCAGGGAAAATAATAAGAGTTAGTTCGATATACAGGTTCCTCAGTTTTATAAAAGATTTCAGATTTCTTGAAATGAATACTGTGCCTATTGACTTCCCTTTTCCCTCTAGTACACACTTCATTTTTTTAGAACAAAAATGCAGAAAAGGAAAAGGGGTTCCAAAATGGAATGCTTCAAGAATCAAGATCCACATGCACCTTTGAAGTTAAACTTTGCGAGCGTCTCAGAGATGGTCGACAAGGACGCTGGGTCACTATCCAGAACCAGCGCTGAAAGCCTTTCCATCATTCTGTCACCAAAGGGATTTTGAAGGCAACTTTGAGCTTTCTGGTGTGAGAGTGAGACCCTCGTAGTGGGTCAGAGGTAGGCAGTCTTTATATAATAATAAAATTAAAAAAAGACGAAGCTTCAAAATCTGTGAAATCGCTTTATTTCAATGGTAAGTTGACCTGTATTTGGACTGGTGCACAACAAAAGTTAGTAGATAGATACAAGAGATATGGTGACTTAAGCAATACATGAGAACCCAAAGTCAAGACTATATTTTTCTATGCAAAAGCCTGTAACCATGTTGCTTTCAGGGTGTCACACTCTTTGAGGTACTGAGGTATTAGTTTTCAAGAAAAAACTAGTATGAAACTGGGTAAAACATACTAACAGATACATGCAAACCTCTACTATTTTATTTCTTCCTCTTTGTTTCCAATTTGTAGCATCAAATTTGACATGGTAAATATGGATGCAATTTCAGGAACCACTGAGTATCAAAATGTGATGGCAGTAATTGCCACAGCACCTGGTTTTGGAATGTCCTTGGGCATCTGTTGACAAATGGACATGCAGAAAATGAAGGCAAAGGACAATAAAATCACATTAAATGAAGCCTCGGCGGATACGGTGGCATTAGTTAGTATCATAATAATAATAATAATATAGTAGTCCCCTGGGACACAAATATATGGCATACCATATCTGTGGGCAGTCCAAAATGGCACACCATATTAATTTCAATCTTCTTTTTCCTCCCAAACCGCCCTGTTTACATCTCTACGAAACCATGAGAGAAAGTAAAATGCCAGTCGTTGAGAGAGAAATATTTACTAGTCCTAGAAAGATATACGCCCGAAACACCACAACCAATCTGCAATTCCCAGTTCCATTCGGATAAGAGTTCCGCGATGACATTATATAAAAACTAACTCTGAAAAGACTCTGTTCTATTCCGTGCATTTCAGCAAATCTTGCCACAGTAATATTTTGCAGCCGGTCCCCTATGGTGTACCGATGCAATATCCAAGCCTGTTCTCTGATTGCATATATCATACCATAACATACTAGGACGAAACCTGCGTTCATCAATCCTAGTAACAGGCAAGCCTGGGGCGCCAAAACAAGAAGAAGAAACCATGAAAGTAAAATATCTCAATGCTATATGTACTAAGTATTCCACGACTAATTACCGACCGGCGTACGAAACTGGAAACGCACACGGTAGAAAGTACCACAAAAACCGCTATGCTAATACTGCGGCGCCGCTTAATTACAAACTAAGGGTTTGTCCACCGCAGACACTCGCTGGTTGGAATGGAGCTCAAACAAAAAACGAGCAGGCCGGCGGCGCACAAACCGACAGACGGACGGCGGCGGCCCCGGTGACGCGACCCTGAGACCGCGAGGCCTGCCTGCGGCCGGGCCGGAGGCACCGCGGGAGGCGTGTCCGCATCCACGGCGGCGCGGGCTGCGCCGTCTCTCGCCACGGCGCCCCCGCCATCCGTCGACAGGCGCGAACGGAGAGCTCGGGATGGGCCAAGACCCGGTGGATCGCGCTGTGGGCCGTGGGAAGGAAGCAAAGGAAGGCCAGGCTTAGGCGGTGGGGCCCAGAGTACCGCCAGATGTCGGCATGGTGGTGGTGTTTTTTTTCTTTCTTTTTCGAGACATGCACGGTGGTGGGTCGGGCGGCGCGCGTCACGACGCGGGGAACGGGGCGGTGGACGGCGCGTGGACCTAGCCCCAGCCACAGGCCTCGTCGGGTGACCAGCCGCGTGGCGGTGTGGTCGATCGGGCATGCGTCGCCACACCACGACGCCACTCAGCCCGCCAGGAGAAGGAGAAGGAGAGGAGAGGAGATGCGGCGGTGGTCGTTACGCGGCTGCTGCTGATGGATGAGGGCTGCATTACATGTGACGCCACGCAAAAGCACCCATGGATTCATTCGGCTGGCCCCCGCGCCGCACAGCACACGCTCCACAGTGCGTCAGTGCCTTCGCCACCGGACAATACTCTATCTGCTCTAGAATAAAAAAATCAATTCGTAGAATCATCTTAAGTTAAACTATTTTATATTTAACCAATATAAAAGTAAAATGATAGCGACATCCGTAACATTAAATTAATATATAAAAAAAATGTATACTCTATCTGTTCTAGAATAAACAAATCAAGCCAAACTATTTTATATTTATTTAACCAATTTAAAAGTAAAATAATAGTGGTATCCATAACATTAAATTAATATATTAAAAACATATACTCTATCTGTTCTAGAATAAATAAATCAATTCGTAGAATCGTCTTAAGTCTAACTATTTTATATTTAAAAACATATACTCTATAGTTATTTTGTTAAATCATAGGATAAATTTAAGAAAATGCAAGTACGCCGTGCTACCGATGCCGAGTCGAAACCCTAGGTAGCTAAGATCTACAAACGACTATCTAATTAGTTGAGCTATGCCCAACAATTCACATATGTGGTTTTATTTTCGTTGGTTGTGATGTGATTTATTTTAGTCACCCGAGGGAGTGGTTGGATTTCAGGACACCATAGTCTTTTTAGTTTGAGTTTGATGAAAGGTCTCAGTAGTCACGTTATCAATTTTTCATGAAGTTGAGTCGTTGGTCAGCTAATATTAGTTTGTTATTCTTATTATACTATGCTCTTTGAAACATATGTTTGTTTTTTTTCTCTCTTTTAGATTATTTTCAATTCATTCAGAAACAGTATAAGCATACATGCCTCGTGATTCTTGATGCACATGTTGGTGAATGTTGATGATGATCTTATTGTTAAACTATAGGAGCTACCTAGCTATCACGTAGAGTCCATACTTGACCTTTGACGTACTGCAAAAGTGCAACCACGAAACGTGTCACGTAAGGCAAAAGCAATGATGCATCAATTCATCTGGCCCTATACCGCATAGCACTTAGCACGTCGTTCCACAAATGTATTTAAATTTAATTTACATTTGCTACCGTCAGGAAAAAGAACGTACCCACAGAGTCAGCTAATAACCTTTACATAATCCTTTTTAAAGAAACCTTACATAGCAGTAAAATATACTAGTATCTCTGAAAGGTTGACGTTTCAGACAGTAATTTTGATTTGCATACGGCTCTTTTTTTTTGGCAGGGACGTCGCTTTTTGCTGATATGGCCTTTTTTTTCTCCCAAAAGAACTGTTCTATTCTATTTAACCTTACACTGTACTCCCTCTATCCAAAATAGAAGTCATTCTCGCTTCCCGAGAAGTCAACTTTTTTAACTTTGACCAATTATATATAGAAGAATATTAATATTTATAATACATAATTAGTATCATTAGATGGATCGTTGAATATACTTTCATAATAAACTTTTTTTGAGATATAAATGTTGCATGCATTTTCTATAAATCTAGTCAAAGTTGAGAAAGTTTGACTTGCATGCATCACATAACGTCCTTCTTTTTAGGACGGAGGGAGTACGAAAGGCGCAGAGAAATCACAAATAGCGGAGCACAACAATACTCTACTGTGCTTATCCATTGTTCACTCGTACCTTTAGCAACTCCAACCAAGCTCTCAAATTTTACACCCCATATTCCTTTAGATAAAAGTCGTTCATCAATATTTCATCTCCTATTTTTCACCACATTCCTATCGATCTTCTATTTTTTCACACTGTATTGTTATGGGTCATCGGTCCCACTTGTCAGCTTTATGGGAAGAGAAAAAGGAGGAACAAGAGGAAGAATGAGGGGCTCCTACATTTGAGGGTTCATGAGAGGGAAATGAGAGTGCCTCATCCATCATGAGGCTGAAATAGGGGCTTGGTGGAGAGCTTTTTCATGTGTTTGATCTCCCAAAGTGGGATGAGGACTCGAGTAGGAGTTTTGTTGGAGTTGCTCTAAGATTTAGGGACTGTTTGACGCAACTTCTTGCAGCTTTGGCTCTACCACCATATATAGAACGTCGTAGAGACGCTGTAGCAAGGAGCCAGTGGAGCTACAAATCATGTCTCCGCCGGCATCTCATCTTCCGAGTTCATTTTTCGTCTCAGGAAATAAAACGACTCCTTGATACATTAGCTCTACAGTGGATAGAAGGAGGAGCCGAAGCCTTCAAGTGCAAAAAAAAAAAAAAAAATTCATACCAAACAACGCCTTACAAAGTGGTTTCACCGGCTCCTCTTATCCTGTATTTTTGCTAGAACCAAAGACGCTACAGTGAACAGCACAACGAGGTAACAGTGTTTCTCCCTACACCGTATACGGAGTACATGCTTGACGTGCAACCATGAAACAGTCATGGACACCGCGCAAGCCTAATCATGCTGCCAGCCTGCCTGCCTTGTCTGATCAGTATTAGTGCTAATAATAACTCGCCGTTTTGATCCCGGCCGTCGCCCGGCATTTGACTGCCACGTCAGATCCATCACCCATCTGGAACCAGATAGTATAGACACAGTCACGCGCTGCTAATCACGGTGGCCGTTGACCGGGCCGGGTGATTAGCACAGCAGCAGCTTCGTCTCTCGCTGTCACGCACGCATGCTCCCAAAGCCGAGATGACCCCGCGCGGTCTTGGTGCTCCGGTACGGTCTCTCCGTTCGTTGCCCATTTCTACGACAGGCGCCCTTCACTTCTTCAGAGCAGGCGACTGAATCCACCGCCCGCCAGCCTACCTACTACTGCCTCTACCTTTTGCATGCAACGCTTTTTTTTTTTTGGAATGGTTCATGCAATTCAGTTTTCAGGAACTGACAGTTCAGGTCAAAGACCTCGACTGCGCAAGTGGTTGAGAGCGAGTGTTTTCTGCACATGCTCCACTCTGTGTCATTCATCCATGCAAGTTGACAGATCCCATGACGACGCGGTTGCCGGTTGCAGGCAGCACCGCAGCAGGTGCAGGACCCAGCGTGAGCACATGCACAGCTGGAGTGGAGTACGCGATGCTAGCTTGCCTCTTGCGAGCAATGCGTGCCCAGCACATGTACCTGCGGAAGATCTGGTCTAGCATCGGGCTAGCAGCCGAGTGGTGCAGGTGTATTGCCACTGCTAGGATTTTTTTTCTTTTTCTAGCAGCTAGTAATTCGGTAATGGCAATTCGGCACAGCCTTTTCCAGCTCCAGATTTGCACTCCACTGTTTGCTGCGTGTGCTCCTCCTCCTCCATCAGTCTGAACACTCATTCAGCGTATTATCAGGAGACGATAGAGAAAAGGGCAGGAAAAGGAGAGAAAAAGAAATCGTCCATCCAATCCTAACTGGTATAATAAGATCCCGTTCCTTCCCATCACGCCCATCGTTTTCCGCTCTCCATTCGACCATTCCGTAAAGCATCCACTCCCCGGTCCCCACGGCGCCGACGACTCGGGCTCCCGGCTCGGGGATCCCCTCCTTGGGCTTGGACGGGAACAGCACGTCGGTCGGGGAAGGGAAGCAAGCGTCCGCGAGTAGGAACAGTAACTGACGGCAGCAAGAGAGTAGAGGAGGGGCGGGACACGGGAGGAGGAGAGGAGCAGCTTACTTGGAGCCGGTGGACTGGGGGTGGTATATAGCTAGGCGAGCGGGCGGGCGGGCGGGCAGCCAATGCCGTTGGGCGCGCAGGGCTAGGAGCATGGGCGGAGGGGGCGCGATCGTCCACGGCTTCCGCCGCTGGTTCCACCGCCGGAACGGCTCCACCTCCGGCTCCAACCAGTCGTCCGCCGCCGGCGAGGGGGACGACGGCTCGTCCGATCTCGAGGTCATCGAGGACCCGGATCTCGTCAGCCTCCGCGCCATCCGCGTGCCCAAGCGCAAGATGCCGCTGCCCGTCGAGAGCCACAGGAAGGTGAGCGACTGAGTGGACCCGCTTCCGTTGCCTTGCCTTGCCTTGCTTGCTTCTGTGGGTGGGGCTGGTTGGAGGGCGGGCGGACGTCTCTTGCCTTCTTCCTCGTGCTCCTTGATCCGTGGACACGGGGAATTTCTTGCCAAGATCGGATTTTTTTTTTTGGGATTTGGTTGCTTCCGTGCTGTGCAATTTCTTGCCGTGTAGGAGTGAGCGCCTCGTTTCCTTCCGCTTATTATGCATTGGGGAGCTGTAAGGATAATGCTTTTGTATTTTCGATCTGATCCGTGCTTATCATTTTGATCGGGGCTGCTTTTATTCCGATTTCTCAACTTATATGAAATGTTCAATTCAAGCACTTGCGTGAATTCGTTTGGTCCCTATATATATGCTCCTATACTGTAGTAGTAGTACGGTGCTCTCGTCTTGCGTCGTCAACCTTCAGTTAGCTATATATATCTCGGCAATTGCTGCCCTCATCCCGCGTTATACTGATCCTGAGGAACTCTTTTCCAAGTTGTCCACTTGTGTTTTTGATGATCTGACCAGCCGACCAGGGCACCGGGCTTCTAATAAGGTAGACTTGATCTGCACCTCTAGCTCCAGTTTCCCTTTGCCTGTTGCTGTTAAGGGACTCGACTAGCTCAATGAGAAAAGGTCTTGCCCTTGCGTGCGTTCCTTCTGAATTTACCTGACCGAGTCTTTAGTGAAAAGGTCAATTTTTAGTAGGTTGGTCATGGCCCAGGTAAAAGATCCTAGCTTTATAAACCTGTGGATGCATGTTATGCAGCCATGTCATTTGCTTTGCTGATGAATAGTGTCGACGATACGCTACTGTTCAGTTAACCATAGGTTGTTTCAGTACAGGTATTTTGTAACCAGTCATTACTTGGATGCCTAATATTCTGTATATCTCTGGCTAACTTCAATCTGTACTTGAATCATGATCTTACAGAACTCAGTGGAAATGGAGTTCTTCACCGAGTACGGAGAGGCAAGCCAGTACCAGATCCAAGAAGTCATTGGCAAAGGAAGCTACGGAGTAGTTGCTGCAGCCGTAGATACCCGCACCGGTGAGCGGGTTGCTATCAAGAAGATCAATGATGTGTTTGAGCACGTCTCGGATGCCACACGCATACTGCGGGAGATCAAGCTCCTTCGGTTGCTTCGTCACCCAGACATAGTTGAGATTAAGCACATCATGCTCCCTCCTTCTCGGAGGGAGTTCCAGGATATCTATATTGTTTTTGAGCTTATGGAGTCGGATCTCCATCAAGTGATCAAGGCGAATGATGACCTCATCCCTGAACATCACCAGTTTTTCCTGTACCAACTTCTTCGTGCTCTCAAGTACATACATGCTGGTAAGTATATTAGTTAGTACCAACCACACTGTACCTATCCCATCTACCAACACAGTTTTTATATTTGTCACACTGTCGTGGGCTAATCCGCTCATGGTTATCCAGTTTATTGTTTTTTTAGGAAAATTATCCAGTTTATTGTTATGATAATGTGCTCTTTATGGTCTATATTGGTGCAGCTAATGTATTTCATCGCGACCTAAAGCCCAAGAATATACTGGCTAACTCGGACTGCAAACTGAAAATATGTGACTTTGGACTTGCCCGTGCATCATTTAATGATGCCCCTTCAGCTATATTTTGGACAGTAAGAGTCTTGACGTTTTATGGAAGCATTCATGTTCCACTTTCCTATTTTTAATGTGCTTCTGCTTTTCTATTTGAAGGATTATGTGGCAACAAGGTGGTACCGGGCACCTGAACTATGTGGTTCCTTTTTCTCCAAAGTAATGTCTTGAGCTCTTGAATGCAATCAAAGTTAATATTGTTAGACCACTATGTATGCATGTGCATCTTGAAGTTTCTAATGCATGAAGTGGTCAATTGTGTAGTGCATCATATTTCCCTTTTAGTGAATATTCTTGTAGTATACTCCTGCAATTATGTATTCTTTATATTCTTGTAGTAAACTGTGCTGAAAACTGAGGTGTAAAGTTTGTTTAGACAGGATTATGTTGCAAAAATCCTTATGTTACAGCTATCCGAATTCTGACACGTTTTAATTTATATGCAGTACACTCCTGCAATTGATATTTGGAGCATTGGGTGCATATTTGCTGAACTTCTCACTGGAAGGCCATTATTTCCTGGGAAGAATGTTGTACACCAATTAGATCTTATAACAGATCTTCTTGGAACTCCATCATCTGAGACCTTATCTCGGGTACTACATCTCAATTCTTTCTGTTTCATTTTTGCCCAAACCTCCTATTATATCATTATAGTAGCTAATGTGTTGTCTAACAAGACTAAGGGCTTGTTTGGATACAAGAGCTAATTACTAGCTAGCTAAAAATTAGCTCTAGTGCATCCAAACAAAATAGCTAATAGATGGGCTAATTTTTTAGCCAAGTCTTCAACTAGTTGTTAGCCAACTAGCTATCCAACCATAGCTAATTTGAGCTAATTTTTAGCCCCAACTAGTAACTAGCCATGTGTATCCAAACAGACCCTAAACAAAGGATCTATGCGAATATAATATTAAAGCACCATTTTATCAACAAAGTCCATTGCAAGCCACTGAAATATTTCCTTCAGGCTCCATTTCTTTGTTTATTTTGTGATGTCTGCTCCTTCTAGAGATTTCACATGCGGAGAAAACATCCATAATGTTGTCTACGATCTTTGCAGATTCGAAATGAGAAGGCCAGGAGATACTTGAGCTGCATGCGGAAAAAATATCCCGTGCCCTTTACTCATAAATTTCGAAATGCTGATCCTTTGGCTCTTCGTCTTCTAGAGCGTTTACTTGCATTTGATCCTAAAGATCGGTCGACTGCAGAAGAGGTAAACTCAATCAGATCACGCTTTCTTTTCCTTCATTAGATTTGCTTTAACAGTTTCCATAAAAAGATGTCATATGTATATTTTGATTTTTGATACAATATATTATTTTATCTTATTTCAGGCTCTAGCTGATCCATACTTTGCATCCCTTGCTAATGTGGAATGTGAGCCATCAAGACACCCTATTTCTAAACTTGAATTTCAATTTGAAAGAAGGAAGCTGGCCAAAGATGATGTTAGAGAATTGATCTATCGAGAGGTAGGGAGCAATAGCTTTTAATATATTTTCCTGTTTGTGTAAACAAGTATAGTCACCGTGCTTGAGAATTTTTTTATATATATAATATGCAAGCAGATTTTGGAGTATCATCCACAGATGCTGGAGGAGTACATGAAAGGTGGAGAACAGATTAGCTTCCTCTATCCAAGGTGCAGTACTACATTAGTTTTTCCTTCTAAGGTTGTACTACCATACAATAGGAATAGTTCAACATCAAACAAAGTTCACTATATACTTTGTGTTTTACTTGCATCCTAGATCCTACTCATTCTTTGTCAAGTTGCTTGTCTTTCAGTATGATCGTTCACTCAAATATTACCTACTTTACACTTCCTCACTTTTTGCCAGGAACCTATTTTCCCCACACACAAAAAAAAAAGTACAAGGATTGTTTATAGGAAACAATAATCATCCATTTTATAACATTATAAGGGTGAAATGCTGTTTTTATATCTATTGCAAGGAGTTGCTGGATTTGATAAAGCATGTATCTAGCATTATTCTTTTATCTAGTAGGATTGGTATGGTTGTTAATACTACTATCTTGTTGCAGTGGAGTTGATCGGTTCAAACGGCAGTTTGCACATCTTGAGGAGCATTATAGCAAAGGAGAAAGAGGTTCTCCACTGCAAAGAAAGCATGCTTCTTTACCAAGGTACATGATTCAGGAGAAAGAGGTTCTCCACTGTACTTCTCAGTCGTGCTAAATCCTGCATGTCTTTGTGTATGACAGGGAAAGAGTGGTTGTATCGAAGGATGGTAATACTGAGCAACATATTAATGATCAGGAGATAAGTGCAGATTCTGTAGCCCGCACTACTGTGAGCCCTCCAAGGTCAGAAGAGGCTGACATGAATGATGTGAAATCCACAAGCTTAAGCTCTCGGAGCTACCTGAAGAGTGAGTGCTACCAAATGAAGAAGTGCAAGCATAAGTGCTTGCACTATCAAGTAAGGAGTACCAAAATTTATATTATTTTTGAGCATCTTAACCCTCAAAGAAAACTCAACAAAGTCGTTGTCAACAAATAAACACCCAGAGGTAATGCTGAACTGCCTGAATTCAACTGGTGGCAAATGAAAAAACTCAAAACTACAAAGTAGCAGGGTGGCAAAGTCTCATCACACGATAAAATATGGCACTATCAATGTCAAATGAAAAAATTAAAACTATTTTTTTAATGGCATGCACACGTATTGTCTATTTTTTAAAATTTGATATCACAAAAGAAAGGATGTGCAAAAGGACATCTTTGATTAGTTTTTTTTTCATGAAGATGCTCAAAAAATAATATAAAATTTCAGCACCATATTTTACTGATTTTACTTTTTTGTTAGCTTTAGAGATTAGGTAGTGCTCACCCGCAAAAAACCGCCTGTAAGGTCGTAAAGTTGAACCGCCACTCGAGGTTGAAATGTTTGGTTTCTCTGTTCAAGAAAGGATGTGCAAAAGGATGATTGAAGCTTTAGAGATTAGGTAGTGAAATGGATGATGAAACGAAATGGAAGACGCCGTCGATGGATTGTCTGAACAGGTCTCCAGGATGCACTCCTAGGCAGGACTGTCCAGGCAACAGCAATTTTGGCATAAGGTTTCTACCTGGTACACTGTACGCCGATGATATAGAGGACAGCCTGGGAAAACGAAACACTCTATGGTACACTGCATTGCAAGTTTGAATTTTGTGTACACCCACAGCTAGTTCGACTTTACTTGGGTAGAAGAGGAATATGCCACCGTCTGATGGTCCTTCCTTCATCATCTGTATTTCCACCGTGTCATGCCAGCATGGCGTGGCGTCTCTAGAAGCCCTGCATGGATTCATGAAGAATTCCTGAGATGTAGCACTAGTTAGTCCATGGAGGAAACAGAATGAACAATGAAGTATGGTCAGCCTGTCGACCATGGGATGCTTTCTTGCAATGGAGTCTGGACCTATGTTTGAGTTTTATTACAACGGCTTCTGCCGTACGAAGTGTCAGCAGTGTATCATCCCCTTTTTCCATTTTGAGGGGATATCACTACAGTGCACATTTTGCCTGTCAAGAAAAAAATGAGTAATTTCTCCAGTCATAGGTCATAAGGACTCCGTACATGTACATCCATATTTATCTTCTTAGTTAAAAATTACAAATACTAGTCAGTCGTGGTTTGTCCTGAATAACCAACTTTCGGGTTCTGAACTTCCTTGGGTAACACCTTATACACTTCCAGGCGAAGGTAACGATTAACTATCGAAAGTCGAAACAATGACCCCTTGATGCATTTTTACACAGGCATATTTTTATGAAATGAACTGCGAGTAGCCCTCTCGTTACTCAGTTCGACACGTATTAATCGTACCACGTGAGCTCCGGAACCTTTGGCTAGTCATCTGTATTATCTCGAGGAACATGTGTTCAATTTTTTTTTGGAATCCCACACATTTTGAATGATCGGTAAACATTCCTTTTGCACATAAAGGAAAACAGAGGTTTAAAAGATTTTTTTTTGGAATCCCACAAAAATCTCTCTCCTCTTCTCTTCGCTTCTCTACTCTCTCTCCCTACAGCAAAAACATACGGAGTGATATTTTGTAAAAAAAAAACATACGGAGTGATATCGTGTACCCGACTCCATTCGATTCACCCCGCGGCCAATGTTTCCCTGATGCTACCCATGGTTCACTTTCTTGCAGTACTGTAATCTGTAGGTTTAATCTGAACATTTTAACCTCTAAAGAGTATTACCACGGTCAGATCATTTTTTTTAGAAATCAATGCGCGCCACCGCCACCGCCTCCACCACCGCCACGCTGATCACAAGCTTCTCCCTTTCTTCTCCAATGGACGCCCCGTCGCCAGCACCACCCAACTGGCCTCCACCACCGCCCGGCGGGTGGCGCCCCTGCAGCCCCACCCTCCGCCTTCGTCTCGACCACCACCGCCACCGGTCCGGCGTCCTCTCCAAAAGCTTCCTTCTAAGCCTAGACAGCATGGTAAATCTCCAAAACCCCAAACCCTAACGGTGCAGCCTTCTTCTCTGGCGGCGGCGATAGCAGGTGAATTCGTCTGCATTTTTTTTTTGCTTCTAGTGCGTGCACACCGAAGCATGTCCGCACGTGTGTGCGGAAACAAGCATTTGGGTAGATAGAAAGATGACCGAATAATTTAATAAATCTGCAATAACATGGTTATTATATACTTGCAATCAAAGGTGTTAGTGCATAGATGTCATAAGCTATTTTGGAAGACGGTTTTTGAAAGCAGCGAGTGAGTAAACAAGGGTCACAAGGTGTTTAAAACCTGTAGACAAGTGAACGATCGCAGGATCCATTTCATGACCTGAGTAGCTAATCAGGGAACGACACAATTTTCATGACCCTTTTCTCAGAAGAAAGAATATTCCCGATCGCAGGATCCATTTCGCGTCAGATTGCATTCCCCTAATGTACATAATCTTACAGTTCCATCTGGTTACTATCGCAATCAAACTAGCAGCTTCAGAAAGGGCTTACTTTCCCAGCAAGCTTCAGCATGAACTCAGGAACAAGACGCCTTGCAACAGGCACGACGAGGTGCTGGGCAGACACGTCTGGATCTTCACTGTGTATCACACCGGCGATCTCTTCGAGCATTTTATCTCTGCCACCCCGAAGAGGATCCTGTGCATAACATTAATTAATTACTGAAAAACAATTTTATGTTTGATGAATTGATATATCACTTGGGACAAGAAAAAGGAGGGTCTTCCACAAGACTGAGCTTTGTTCAAAATTATTATTGAGTCAGAAAATAAAGAAAACCCAAATAGCACTTTTGGTACAATGACTACCTGAAGGAACAAATCAGTATGTGTCTTCCCTTCATACAGAAATAAATCTGCTTTTGCACCTTGCTGTTGTAAAGCATCAATGAACGCTTGGCTGCATTTTTGGATTAGTCATCAAATAAGTATAGTGTTTCTACAACCTTGTGAAGAAGGTTTACATATTAAAGTAATTCCAAACAATAAACTGAAAAGCACATTAAAGTGGGCCAAACATAAAAACAAGAGGTAACCAATAAATTGTCCTCTGTATCTACTGCTTGAGCACACAGATATTGTCTTTTTTATTTTCTTTAATATCCTAACAGTACCGGGAATCATATAAAACAGCAAGAATATGGATTTACCATGCACCCTATGTTAAATATAAAATTTGTGACACACCTTTCAACTGAAGGTATTGAATAATCACTTGTCCCATGGAAAAGGATGATACGAGGCAATAAAGAAACTGCAGACCTAGCAGATGATTGCATAATCATCACTTGTGGAGAGAATTTCTGGAGTGATTCTTCACCTTCCATAATACTGGAAAAATATGATCAAAATAAAGTCACAATACACTCACAGGATCACGATTTTATATAGAAGACATGAACAAATACTAACAGTGAACCTGAGAAAGATGGACCGGTAAAGGCCACGTCTATGGAAATGATCAACCAAGTTAAGGAGGTTGTACCTGTAGAGATCATACACAAAAGTTCAAGCCTGTTCCAATTGATCCATTTCCCCCACAAATAAATGCTTAAGTACAGTGCTACTCCCTCCATCTCTTTTTAACTGTCGTTCTCATTTCCCGAGAAGTCAAACATACTCAACTTTGACCAAATATACACAATAAAATATTAATATTTACGGTACATAATGAGTATCATTAGATAGATCGTTGAATATATTTTCATAATAAACTTATTAAGAGATACAAATGTTGCTTAATTTTTCTACCAACCTAGTCAAACTTAAGAAAGTTTGATCAGCACGAATACTATAGCGACACTTAAAAAGGGACAGAGGGTGTAAAAGGGTCCATAATTTATGCTGTCTTTCGAAACTTGATTGATACCTAAACATAGTATAGAAGGTTCTTATAAGTTGTCATCCCACTCACTACTGCAAAGGCTAAATTCATCAACTGAATCTAGAGTAGTCAAATAATCTCTCCACTCGGCAACGACATATATATTGCAGCCAAAACCTACTCTAATTGGCAGAGCTGCGAATATTAGAGAAAAAAAGTAGTGATACTATGCATAAATTCAAATAGAAAAACCATATAGTTTTTTTTTTCTGTAATCTATATACTATTCAAAGAGACATGAATGTTTTACCCGCCAGAAATACCAAAGTAAGCTTTTAGCTGTGATACACTCCAAGAGGAAGTATCTCCTTCACCACATTCTCTAATGGCCTGATTTAAGAGAGCACATGCAGCAATATGTGCACCAGCTGATTGTCCAACAAGATATATCCTGAATATGTAAGAACAGAAGTACTTTAAATATATCATCTCAGGCAGAGGTCTATACTTTTTCATTCAGTTTTTTTATACACTGCACATTTCTTTGAGGAAGATAAATATTTTGGAAAAAACAAGTAAGAACTATTTCAGTTTTGTGATAGTAACCAAATATGTACACAAGGGTAGGTTATAAACCTGCTAGGATCACCTCCATAACTTGCTATATTCTTGCAGACAAAAGCTATTCCTTGAGAAGCATCTTCTACCATGTCACCAATAGTCCCCTGAGGAAAGTTTCTGAAAACAAAGCATTTACATCCTCAGTGACTATGGCCTGAATGATTATGCTGCTTTGCATAGGAAATACATTCAGAGTACCTGTAATCAATGCATGCAACTATGATGCCTCTTTCTGCTAAGCGTCTGCCTAAAAGGGCTCCCCACCCTTTGTACCTGAGAAATATATAATTTGATATGCAGAGTCATTGAATCAAGACAGAATCAAACTTTGCAATAGCAAGAATATCAAAAAATGGTTGGGGGGTTCAAGATAGTACATACTTCCACTCACCCTATGATCCACGCTCCACCAGTCACAAATGCCACAACTGGCTTTAACCCTGTCGTACTAGTGGGCATATACAGGTCCAGTCTGCAATAAAACTTACCAAATGATTTATCAAGTAGAAATATTAATTACATGGTAGTAGAATCAAATGAAGTACCTGTTTCTTGGCTGATCTCCATATACAACACTTCTATGAACTTGGCTAGAGAAGAAATAATAATATACAACTGGAGTAGAGCAAAATCCATTAAGATAGTAGCACAGTCAGTTGCATTGTATGAGTTCAATTGAACAAGCTATATCACCCACGCTTTTTCAAGAACAAAAATGAACCAAATACACAGATAATAAAACAATGACAAACCTCGAGCAACACCAACCTTGAATAAAACCTGGCATCAGCAAGAGGGTATAACAGCAGAGGGCTAGGAACTGCCGGATCCATCTGTAGCCTATCCTGCATAAATTTAACATGTTATTAACCGAAAAAAGCATGTAGTCTCTCTCATAAAAGGTCGTCTGAACACACTTCCAATCAAATTATCTAGGAAATATCAGATTTGATGCTAAATATGGCATGTCACACAAATTGTCCATTTTTCCAACATTCTTTCCGCGCAGACAAATTTGCAAATATCATCGAGCACGTAGGTGTACCAGGACTCCAGGAGAGAGCAAAGCACAAGTGAAATTGTGCAAGTTGTAGAGGTCGCAATAAACAAGCAAATAGCACATCGCACAACAAAGCAAAGCGCAATTAGCAGCCAGAGAAGCGGAGTTTATGCGTACCCGAGGTAGCGGAGGAGGATCAGAGTGAGCCTTGTGAGGAGGAAGGTCTCGGCGGCGGCCCGGCCGACTTCGCGGCGGAAGGAGCCGCTGCGCTGCGCGAACCGCCCGCACGCCGGCCGGCGCCGCACGCCCGCATCGGGGAGGAGCGGCGCATCCTCCGCCGGGGGCGACGCAGCAGCGGATGACGGGGACGGCGGCGGGGTCTCCTCCCCGCCTTGCTCGTCTGGGAGGTCCGCGCGGCGAGCTCCACCTTCATCGCGGTGACGAGAGACTCCCGAGGTGGGGGCTTCTCCGTGATGCGGATATTCTGATCGGAACCGGTACAAAGCTGGGAGAGCGACGGTTTCTTGTGGCCAGGCAGCAGCTCCGCCGGCCACCGAGGTGGAACCGCGCTGCGGCCCGCGGCAACGCCTCCGCGAGCGAGGGCACGGAGGCGTACGACGGTTCCGGTGCGGCGGTGCTCCGGCGGACGGCGGACAGGAAGAGGCGATTCTGCGACCAGAACGCTGACACGTGGGCCCTGCATGTCCCACACCCACATGTCAGGGAGATAAAATTTCCCAAAAGATACCTCCCAGTAAGTCGACCTGGTCGGTACTTTTAGATTCACCGGCCCGGCCCGGCCCATATGACGTCCGGTGACGTCTATTCGGCCTTGCATCCTTGCACTATTTGGGGAGTTGGACCTGCTATGGCATCTCTGTAATTTTGTTTTCAAATTCCTGTGTTTTGCTTGTGAAAATTCTATACGGCTCCTGTAAAATTACTGCTGGGCCTGCTATTCCATATCTACTTTGAAACATGATTTTTTTTTCAATTCCTGCGAATTTTCCATACAATGATTCCTGTAAAATTACTATGTTCCAAACAAGGCCTAAACGAACACTCCCGCGGAGACATGTCAGCTGCATTTCTACGATTTTCAGTAGCTGAATGGATAAATTTGCACCCACTGAGAGTTTGAGACTCAAATTGCAAGTGTTTTTTTTATCAGATAGACATTGAAGTCCTGCCACCCACCTTCATTTCAGTTTGAAAAATGACCGCTACAGAATCGAGAACCTTTGCCCACACCCAGCCCATCATCGAGGATTCGCCAACACGAACTACACAGACTGCGCCAGTGTCTCATGGCAAATAAGAATACACAACCCAACATCAATTCAGAGCAAATTTCCGCTAGTGTTAACAACCGTGCAAAGTTTTGTTTCACACAAAAGCAAAGAAAATCTATACATACAGCCTTGTTCAGTTTGGTGTGGATCGAAGGTAATTGTGTCAGAACACCCCCAATCCAGGTCAATCCTAACTGAACAAACACCGGATATCCAAGAAAGATATACTACGGCTGAACAGTTGACGACTCAACCCAACTGGTACTTCACCTCCCCTCCCTCCCGTGTCGATTTAGTTGTGTCCGTAAGGCTGACAAAAGATTTCACAGTGTCAACACCTAATTTGCCTGCTAGGGCGCCTTTCTCGGCAATCACAAGCGATTTCTCCTTGACAAAGCTTTGCAGCTTCTTGGTATCCAAATCCAGGCGTTCTTGGTCTACACCAATCACAAAATGAAATAAGCAATTGTTAGCTCGTCATCTGTATTATCTCGAGGAACTGCCTTAATATAAATAGTTGGGCGAAATTGCTACACAAGCTTCCTTTTGCCGAGAAAGGAAAACAGAGGTTTCAACAGATTTTTGTTGGAATCTTACAAAAATGAAGGACTCTACATCACTAATATTTTTTTTTTGAAAAAACATCACTAATAATTTGAAATGCACTGATTATTACGGGCAAGGTTCTGGAGCATACCTTTTTCCACAACAGTGTGTGCGACATGAAATGGAACACGGGCAAAAATATCTGATCCAGGAAACATTAGCCAAGTATGTTCCTTGGGGTCATGATCTCCACAAGTTGGGCATATCTCCTTTATCAGCTGCTTGCCAGAACTTCCTTCCATCTCTTTCATTATGACCTCAAAGGGAGATGGCACGCTAGTCTTCGTTGTCCTAGCTTGTTTCCGGAGGGCCGTCAGCGCCTCCCTGTTACCATTTCTTATCTTATCATTTTCCACCAACTGATAGTAACAGAGATTAACAAATCAGAAGAGTGATACTGAGACTGTCGTCTGGTATGAACAAGGCAAGCCAATAGCAAATTAACATATATGAACCTGATGCCTAGCCAGAAGGACCTTTTCTGCATCAGTCTCAATATCAACCAGAGCCTCTTGAAGCTGCTTCATATTGGGATCCATTATAGAGCTGAAAACAATTATGTCAATCATTTTTCTTTTATTATGCCAGTAAATTACCTAACAAGAACACAGCAATCCTCATATTGTACATACACTGGTATAAAATCTTAAAGTGGCATACACAATCTTTCAAGTGTCTTCTATGATCGAAGGTAAACAGTTCTGAAACCTGAGACAGTACAGAAAAATGGTCGCACAAAAGTAGCACACCATCCATGTGAGGTAGCAGCAGAATTCTCCCCGATCGCATCGACTAATGACTACATTTGCTCCTGCCTCCTGGAGGCAGACGTACCTGTTGTTCACCAGCTCGTCTTCCTTTTGCCAGTCCAATCCGCCTGGCTCACCAAGAAACGAACGCCGCCACGGAAGAAGGATGCGCGACGGCCCGACAGCGTGGAGCGCCGCCTGCAGGCTCCAGCAACCCCGTCGCGTTCACTTGGAGCGAATCTAGGGTTCCAGAGGGAGGGGAAAATTGCATTGGGGGACTTGGGGCACTGGGCTAAACGTACCTCTCGGTTGGATTGGAGCAGAAGATCCAGCCGCCGAGCTCGCCAGCGCCAAATGGACTGGGCCGACCTTCCATGCATTGGGCTTTACTCTCGGCCGAAATTCGTTCAGACGTTCACGGCCCATCCTGGTTGTCCGTCCCCTCCCCTCGGAAGGAGCGGCGAGGTTGGGGCGCGCCGAGACGGCGGAATTCCGGCGACCGGCTTAACGATCCGCAGCTTTCTCTTCGGAAACTGCTCCGCCAGCCGAAGCACCCGGGGTTCTCCCTCAACCTCACCATGGCGTCCACCTCCTCTCCCCACCGGAAGTTGCTCCACTCCGTAAACCTCTCTCTGCCCCGCTAAACCCCTCCCATTTCCGATCCCAATTCCAGATTACACCTCCTAACAATTTTTTCCGCGCCTCTGTTTCAGCTGGTGTACTGGGCGGTGCAGCGCTGCCGGATGTCGGAGTCGCCGTGCCGGCTCACGGTCTCCCTCAAGCGTCCTGCCGAACCCGCCACCGCCAGCTCCTCGCCGCTGCGCGTCTCCGGTAACGTAGCCTGCGGCGGCGCTCCATCCTTAATTCCGATTATTACGTCCCGAGGAGGGTCGCGCCCTCAAGAATTAGTTTACCGCTTAAATATTTGGTGAACTGTTGCAGTTTCGGACACTGGGGTGGGGAGCAAACTGGAGGAGTTCCTGGAGCTAGACGCCCTGGCGCGTGAGACTCCCGTGGAGAAATGGGGTATGATCAATGTGATGCCTTAAAAAGTTGTTCCGATGTTTGGAATAGTCTCTAGTTACTAGTAGGAAGTTGGGTTTGTGGTGTGGATGTATGTCCAAACCACCCAGGTTAAGTCCTTGTCGAGGCAAATTTGGTCGCCCCGTTTTCTTCTTAATATAAAGACACCTAGTTCCTCTTAGATTGGTCTAGTTTTTTTTTTTAAATGAATAAGTAATGTCACCATTAAGTTTTCTCCACAATCAACATCTCTGTTACAGTATGCTAGAGAATGGAGACCGCCTAAGAGACGTGGATGTGATTAGTGATTATGTCATTGGCATTTGTTTGTAATAACGTTAATACATCTGGAAGTAAATATTGTCCGATGGTAAGGTGGTCAAATGTTCTTCACTGACACTTTCCTTCACGGTCATAGTTTTAAGTGAGTCTTCAGATGGAATACCAACTTTGGTGTGACAATCACTTGGGAAACAGAAATGGAATAGTTCTTGATTTTTGTTCATCTTCCTCTGTCTTATGTGGTTTCTATCTGCTTGCAGATGGCACACTCTTAATCACAACTACTGGTATGTTCTCTGTTTCACTGCATGATATAGTTTAGTGTTCTGTTTGTGTTATGAATATCAGTTGATGTGAAGAACTGTACTAGGAGTTTGTTAATTTTAGCTATTCTAAATTGCTTGGTTGGTTGTGAAAACTGTGGAACTTGATAGCAATGGTAACAAACAGATATATGCGAATTCTACAAAGATGGGAGCATTCTATGATCAGACTCTCACCATTATTCTCTGAAATTCGCTCTTACCTTGATTTTCTCGCTACTTTCATTTGTTATTCATACTTCCTTTTTCTCTTAATCTGTTTTCTTCCTTTGCGATGTAGTTTCCTTTACAGTTTCTTTTAATTTGCAAGTGCTAAACCCCAAAACAAAGAATTATACAGTAGAGGAGTACATCAAAGTTTTCTGCTACCTTCTTATGTCTATTTAGATGACTGAGCTATTAGCAGTTTAGCACGCTTTTCTTGGGTGTACAAGTTGGTACCATAATCTCTATCAATTGCAAATACAATGCATGCAAAAGGCAAAATATATCTGAGAAGGTTGTTTTTATTTCATTTGTGATATTATGAATACAGTCAATGATAATTTCTTGCCTATATACTATTCTGTAGGAATCAATGATGAAGCCATTTATCGTTATCGAATTAATCTTCAAGAAGAGATATCAAGTGCAAGATTCAGCAAGCTGGCTACCACATACAAAAATCATGCACGATTCAGGTACCTGTCTGTTAGTTTGATTTCACCAAATGAATACCTTGATTGATTAAATCATGGATATGTTTCTCAACACAGTGGAACTGAAGTCTGCCTATGTCTCTCAAATGATGCTGACGTTGATGATCTTATATTATGGTTGGTTGGCTTCTTCAGAAAGGTTTCATTTTGCCATATCTATTTACCTGCTTAACCTTAGCAAAAAGGCCAAAAGCATGGTCAGAATTTCTAATGTTAGCTATTGAAACCAGCTTTTCTACGACTTGTGTCATCTTCCATCAGGATTTGTTTGCCAAACATCTGGAAGTATCACATTGTTTCATCTTTTTGATGTGCTAATACTTAGACTAGAAAGTGCATGTCTAGAGGCTAAGTAAAGTTTGTTCATTACAAAATCATCTGTTAACATTGACTGAAAGAGGGAAAATAGTTTGATGCCTGTTTTCAAATTATGAGATGTTAGTTTTCCACTGCAAAATAATCTGTTTGCATCACCTTTCACCTAGAAGAAAAGGTACTTATTGTTTCTAAATTGGGCACTACAAAAATAAATGGTGAATCTAGAGAATTTTAAGTTGATTAAAAATGTGTGATGATACCATCAAGATCAACTGACACCATCAGTGCTATCCCCCTTCTTCCAAATAGATCATCCAACAGTTTTTTAAACCCATGTTAAATCCTAGTTAATAACTCTTCGTTCATATCCTTATCCTTCATTCCATCTACCCAGGAACAATGCTTTATATGAACTAATTTAGTTTTTAACCTTTAATCAATGAGCAGCTGTCTCCAGACACGGGGAATCAATGAAAACTATATCAACATGTGTCTCAACATATCAGTATTAGAATCCTATTAATGATCTTATGGTAGAGATCTGTGGCATTTATTGGCAAATACGGTAGAATTAAGTGTCAATTTCGCACAGTTAAGCATGTCCCTTTTGTGTTGTTGGCTCCAATATTGTCTGAGTTGATTTTTTTTTCTTTCTTAACCTATGCAGATACAAGTGATAAGAGCAGCAGTAAGTATATCTGAACTGTTATCTTTCCTCAAGTTGGAAGTGTAGTATTTTGCATTCTTTCATTTTCAATGCTCCTTTGCAGCTTAAATGGCTCATTGTCTACTCTAATGTGATCTCAGATTTTTCTTATTCTTAATCCCTTCAGTCTTTAGTTGTTGCATCTTTGACTCATATACTTTTCTGCTAAAAAAAGACTAATACATTAGCATTAACAGTGCTGTTTTATGGATGTGTATTATCTTATGTTTTTCTTTCTTATTCAAAGGTCTAAGTTAGTTTAGTTGCCTTCTAGCATATTCATCTTACTTTGCCTTTGTATTGGTTGATCAAACAATAGTAAATTTAATGCCATCCAGACCTTAAAAATATCAAACGCACAGATTTCCTTATACCTATTCACTTTGTGAGGCTTAGTTTTATTACAGTTCTTTATGCGTTTGTACTTTTAGGTATGGTTCATTATTTTTTGGTAGTAAGTAGGATATGAAGCATAAGCTTTAATGTATTTGTACGGGTATGTCTCATTGTCTACTCTAATGTGATCTCAGATTTTACTTATTATTTTTTGGTAGTCAGTGTTTATGCTGCAATGGCAAAACAACACGATCCTAGAAGTTGAAACCTCCTACATATGAAAGAACATGAATACATTTAGACTACAACATATGTTTGATATTGTCGATGGCTGGAGATAGTTGATCAGAAGTTCATTGGCCATGGATATATTAGTAACAAGTGTCTTGGAAAAAAAAGGTTAGTAATAGACTAATAGGTGTATATATGTCCTTGAGCTGATTAACTGAAACAAAAAACATAACAGGTCTAAAAGTGATTATCATTTTTCAGCAGTCGATCACATTATGTTTAGTGTGAGTATGACATTTAACTTGAATTGGTTGTGGCATATTTTCAGTTTTGCTTGTTGAGTATCAAGGACGCATGTAACTTGATAATCTCTGTGTTGCCTCCTTTTTTTTCTTAGGCTGACAACTTAAGTTCCTGTTTGGCTGTTTATTTTGTACTTAGAATTTAGCATGTGAGCTCTTTGTTGAGCAAACAGGCAACGCTGATTCCAGAAATGTCTGTCTAACACAAGATTCTGATGATGTTCATCATTCTGTTACGGCATCAAGTATTGACCAGCTAGTTTCTGGTCTTAAAGACTACACTCACTTCCATGGAAACACTTGCGACAAGTGTGGTGCGTGCTCATTGAATAGGTAAAATAACGTTTCCATCATGGCTGTCTTACATTTTTTTTTATCATACTACTATGCTGCTAAGATAATTTTACTGAAATTGCTAATATATGCTCCGAAATATTCATCCTAATCGCCCAACTCCATTCTCTCTCGGCCTTTCTGGCATGTGTGTGCTAAGCTCTTATGTCCAAACTTTTATGTAGTGTGGTCTGTTGTCGCTATATTCGCCCATTGGCATGCTAATAAACACTTGTGTATCATCTAATTATTGTCCTATGCATCCTCACGACAGGATGTTGTGCTGCCATAACATGATTAGTAAGTTTTACTTTTTCTTCCTTCTTACTTCAGAGATCTTCTAAAGATTGGAACTGGAGCAGCAAACCATGTAGACAGAAGAAAATCTAAAGGACTGCATGTTGAAGTAGTCATAGTGATTGCACACACTGCATCTGATTCGACTTGTTGTATGGTAAATTGCCCATCCACACAGGTTTGAACCACAAGGTTTTCAGCTATACATTTTCATTTCCTGAATAGTTGTTCTTCTAGGGCCTAGCGCATGGCTGGGTACCAAATTCAGGTTGAAGGCGGCACATTCCCCATGCCAAGACAATCTTATTATGCTTTGACAATGGAAAATGACTTGTTCATTTGACTTATAACTTGCTTACTAACAATATAAGAACTCATGAGACACATTCTTTCTCGTGTCCAGTGATATTAGAGGAGTTAAGCACGATTCTACTGAGCTGATAGTTTATTCCATTGTTGGTTGCAACAATTGCAGGTTTTGTACTTTGAAGATTTTGTACCTTGTCAGATATCGCAGTCCTCTTTTGATGTGTTGATGAGCACAGATTGGCAAAGCTATGGTTTCAAGTTAAAAGGAGGTTTGATGGGTGATGAAGGAAATGTTGTTCTTGAGTGGGCTAACATGACATTTGCTCGTATTGATATTGCCATTCACACTTACCATGAATGATATCCAGTTTCCACACTGTGCACTTCATACTCTTTTTGTTTTTGGACATTCACAAGCTTTTTTTTTGTTTCAATGAAAGCCTCAATGTATATATAGAAGGTGGATTTTCTGTCTATCCTTGACTTTCTCTAGCCACTGCTATGCAAGAACGGCAGGGATCTCAACAAGACAGATACCTTGTGAGGAAGGCACTCAAATCTGCTCTATCTCACTTGAAAGCAGATCATGCAGGAGATTTTCTTAGTTGCCATGGCCAGAGGGTATGAGCCTTCTACACACGTTTTAGTTTTTCACTACTATTAACTAACTTATTCAGTATGTTTTTCTTTTGGACTGAAGAAATTGCGTTGCTATTTGGGTAGAAGCTAAGGCTAAAATGCCTACTATTTATTAACTCAGGACAATTTGTCTTATTCTATCAACTACGCTGCAAATGGACTCCTATTTATTAGAGTTAGTAGATAGAAAAATAAGCTAAGCATGACATGATAATAAGCACCATATGTTCTATCATTAAAAGAGTACCATAAGGTGTAGTACATGTTCAGATGTACAACTTCAGCAGTTTTCCTACACCTTTCCACGTTTGCAACTTTGCATATCATAGTCTTTAATAAGAGGTTTTAAGCTTTCAAATGTCTCAGCCGACACTTGCACCCCATTAATTCCTAACTTTGTTGTGAATTCTGTCATACTCACTTTCATTCAAAACTGCCAAGCGTGAATTCCAGTTCTGTGCATTTGGGCTGCTTGAGCCCTGTATTATTATAGAGCTGCAGCTTCCTAGGCTCAAACTACACTCTTGGAGTATTCTCTATCGCTAGGTCACATGAATTTCTGGTTGGTTTTCAACTGGTCATGACTCATGATCTTAAACATGTCTATTGATCTCAATGTTTGTAGCTGTTTAGGGCACTATATGGGATTGTTAGGTGCATTTTTTTCTTGTTGATCCTATTCTTATGATGGCAACTAACGCATCCTGTTCATTATGTCATTTCAGGTTCGTGAATATGTTCCTGACCTTGCAGAATCAATCGCTGGGCTGATCTTGTCGTCCACCGATGAAGAGTTCCAAGATGAATGCATTGCGCTTCTTGGGCTAGGCTCGGAACAGGACATCTCGGAAGGAGCAGTTCAATCGTCGATCTCTGAGAAGATGATCCGTATCATAGAGATGAATGACACCAAGGAGAATGCAGAGGACAACGTGCCTTATCTGTTCGAGTGCGAGGAGCTGGATGAAGATAGCGAGCTGGACGAAGATGGAGATGAAGACATGGCTTTCGATTTCTAGCACTGTTTCAGTAGTAGCCCACACTCTAGTAAATCCGCTCGCTGAACTAGAGGCTGTAAGTAGGAGTTAGCGTGTCTGCTATGTCAATATTTAGAAAATGTAAACATAAAAAAATATTTAGAAACTGTAATTGCAGAAATTGGATAATTAAACGGACTATAATTGCAGCATTTCGAGAAATTTTAGGTATGTAGAGATCACGGCCTGAGTAAAATTTTTGTAAGCTACTCATATTTTCACTAGTAGAGATCTTTATGTTTTGAGTAAGCATATTATTTCGTTATCTTGTAATATCTTTTCACAAACCCATTTTTATCAGACTAGTGCGGTTTTCTTTTTTTTATTTGTTTGTGAAAAGCAAAAGTGTGATTTTCGTGAAATGGGGAAAAATAATTCTATAACACTTTATAAATACTCCTATAAAAGATGTTTGTTGTTGAGGAATAGACAAAGTGTTGTATATGGGTTTTTCTTTTTGTGATATACTCTTTTATAGCACGTGAGCTCCGGAAAACCCTCTTGCTCTGCAGTCTGCTCGCTCGCGATTGCGATTCCCACCAGTCCCCCAGTCCCAGACACGATACCTAACCCACCCAGCCGGGGATCCCAAAGCGGCGGCCATGGAGCCCTCCCCCGTCGGCGACGGCGGCTCGGCGGAGCGGTGGCGCGCGGAGGCGGCGCGGGCGTTCCAGCACTACCTGGACCGCGCGGCGCCGCACACGGCGGGGCGGTGGGTGGGCACGCTCGTGGCCGCGGCGGTGTACGCCCTGCGGGTCTACTACGTGCGGGGCTTCTACGTCGTCACCTACGGGCTGGGCATCTACCTGCTCAACCTCCTCATCGGCTTCCTCTCCCCCATGGTCGACCCGGAGCTCGAGGCGCTCGAGGCCGGGCCCGGGCTCCCCAGCCGCGGCTCCGACGAGTTTAAGCCCTTCATCCGCCGCCTCCCCGAGTTCAAGTTCTGGTATGCCGCTGCGTTTCTGCCCTTACCTCATTTTGGACCATGCTTAGTCCAAAGGCACCGCACTGGCCGAGCTGATTGCTAGTAACTACGTACTAACTAGGGATCCAATTCTATAAGGCAACCGTAGCAATTTGCTGCTTTTGTGCTAGATTTCGATTGAACCAGCTATGCTGGCTAATCTTCGCCATTCAGGCATTCACCAACCAACCAGATAGCCAATGTTTCTCACAGATTGTACGGTCCACCTCATCAATTGTCTGTCCGTCTGATATGATAGTATTCCATAGTAGTGCTTGATACTATCCAATTTAGGTGCAATTTTACCAGTGATTATAAGATATGCCGAGTTTGTGTCAGTTTTCCGTTGGACCGGGTGACCAACTATACTTGGCTTGGACTGTTGGTGCTTAATTAGCTCGTCCTTCACTAACCAACCAGCTAAGTTTGTCTCATGATCTGCATCGCATCTGAAATCATTGTTTCCTGTTATGTATTTGTTTATCAGTAATTGTTCAGCTGCTGGAAAACTGTCACGGGCATCCCTCATCTTTAGTGGTAGTATTTTGTATAGTTTTAGGCTTAGAGCTTTTCGTTAACTGATATTATGTGTGTGCTACTGAGAAATATATCCTGGTGAATGCCTATGCACAGTTTATTCCTTCGAAAACAACATAGTACATTCTTTTTATCACTCCAGAATTCTTAGTAGTTACTGCTGTACATTGTAATGCATTTTCTGAGAAATATAGGCTGCATTTCCTTGTGGAACTAATGTACTTTTGTGCAAATTTCATTAGAATTGTTTTTACTTTCATATTGAATATTAATTCACCTTTTGATGTTCTAGTTTTATAGTGCAATACATTTTCACCCCTTTGAAGTTATATTGTGATGTTCGTTCTTTTTGCCAGCAGTCATCTACTTTCTGTATGATTCGCATGGAATGATGGAATTGAACAATCTATCACCAATGAATGCCTTTGTGGCACTGCTTTCCCCTGGGATCTGGCAAGCTCAATTTAGAAAGGCATTTGCTGTTTCATGTGAACAATTTGTTATCTTTACTATATTAGGAACATCATGTTACTAGCCTATTCAATGTCTCAATCAAGCTTTGGTGTTTCAGTGGCTTGTAGTTTTCTGTCTTTTTTTTTCAGTGGAAGTGTACAGCTGAAGGGCGGGCCTGGTGCAAGTGGTAGAGTCTTACCGCTTGTGACCGGAAGGTCCCGGGTTTGAGTCGCAGTCTCCTCGCATTGCACAGGCGAGGGTAAGGCTTGCCACTGACACCCTTCCCCAGACCCCGCACAGAGCGGGAGCTCTCTGCACTGGGTACGCCCTTTTTTTTAAGTGTACAGCTGAAAGTATATTAACCAACTGCTTCTTGTTTCAGGTATGCCATCACAAAAGCGTTCTGCATTGCTTTTGTCATGACCTTCTTCTCTGTATTCGATGTTCCTGTCTTCTGGCCAATACTTCTCTGCTATTGGATTGTGCTCTTTGTCCTGACAATGAAGCGACAGATTGTCCATATGATCAAGTACAAGTATGTCCCGTTCAGCATTGGAAAGCAGGTGAGACCTCTATTTTTCTGAGCTGTTATGTTTCCTTTTACTTCTTGAAAGTTACACAGATCATGCTTTGTGACAGAGTTTCTCAAAAGTTAATAACAAATGGTTTTATGCCATGTGGTTTCTACTGCGAATTGTGTCTACTGTCTACGTCTAGTCAATAATAACTAGTTCAAGATCCTGCGTTGCTGCTTGATAGCATGATTCCTAGTAAGCAATCAGAATTCATAACTGAGTTAGAGCCTTTGCATTTCATCCTTAGTGTGTTTCTGAGTTATTGGTATCGAAATATAGGAACTTGTATAGGAGCTTCGAAAATATTTTATTTTATTTATTTATCTGCTTGGTACTGTACAGTCTTGGCAAGCCTTTTTCTATTTTGGGGCTAATGATTTTACATCACCATTGACAATACATTCTCCCTAGAATTTACTGAAATTTGGAAGTGTTGACCTGCATCTGCAATTGGGTCATCATACGTCGTTTACTAAACTCTGCTTGCAATTCCAATGCAGAGGTATGGCGGAAAGAAAGGCCCTGCAGCCCGTGCATCTAAAGACTAAAGACGGTGTGGGACCTCGAGAGCAAACGCCCGTTTATCTGTGAGGCATCCTGCTGGCATGGTGGTATTTTGAGTACCAGCTACTGATAGGGAATGTACACCATATATTCGCTGGTGGAGACCGCAGAGAAGCTAACCAGACTTTTGCATTGGTTGATGATTCCTGTTTCACATATCAGTAGTTTATGTACAATGACATGGAACATAGCTAGTAGATCAAATTTCCAGTTCCTCTGTTGTACTGTGCTTTTGTGGACAAGTTGTGGACCTGTTGAATCTTTGCAAACGCAATACAAGCAGAGACCGAGAGGACAAAATGGAATTGTGGTGCCTGGGGCCACATGGCAGTGAAACATAGCTGTTATTTTTTAATGATCTTTCCAACATTGTTACTTGGATCTCGCAAGCGATCTACCGTGCCTGGATCAACCACTCGGTTTGCTGCGTGTAGCTGCGGCCGTTGCCTGTGTACCAGTACCAGCGATTTGTAGCTCCTGTTGCACTTCTCGTGGCAAACACCACCCCCCCCAGCATTTTTTTTTTATTTTTAACACCTTTTGTAAACTAATTTTAAATCTAACACTGTTTTATTTTTTCTCTAAAACTAACACTTTTTTCCGCGCCTATTTTTTCCTGGCGCGGCGAAACGCCTGTGCCGCGCCATGCATGGTGGCGTGGCGAGAGGGATGATGTGGCGACGACCGGGGCGCTGACCGGTGACGTGGCAGGGTCTGCCGCTCCACCGATCTTGACGCGGCGGTGACGCGCCACGCATCATGGCGCGACAGTGACGCGCCACCGCCCAGGGTGCGGCAGAGCCGGCTAAAGGCCCGCGGCCCAGTACCGCCGCGCCACGCCCTAAACCCTGCCCACCGCACGCACGCCCGCGCCCGCCCGCCACTAACACTTTTTTCCGCGCATATTTCCCTGGCGCGGCGAAACGTCTGTGTCGCGCCATGCATGGTGGCGCAGCGAGAGGGATGACGTGGCGACGACCGGGGCGCTGACCGGTGACGTGGCAGGGTCTGTCGCGCCACCGATCTTGACGCGGCGGTGACGCGCCATCGCCCAGGGCGCGGCAGAGCCGGCTAAAGGCCCGCGGCCCAGTCCCGCCGCGCCACACGCCAACCACCGCGCCACCGCGACGACGTTCGCGCCGCCGCTTGCTGTTCCGCCGCCGCGCTGCGCCGCGCGCGCCGCGCGCTGCCGCCGTTGCGCGCGCCGCCGCTCGCTGCTGCTTGCGCGCTGCCGCGCCGGCCGCACGTGCGCCCGCCGCCGCCCCTTCAAGCTTCCTCGCCGCCCCGCCATCGCCGCGCCGCCCTCACGGCAGCTGCGGCGATTGCCGCCGCGCGCCCCCTCCTCGCCACGTTGTACACCACTCCCGGTACCGCCGACGCTTCTCTCTATCCGTGTCCACCCGCCGCGCCGTCGAGGTAAACGCCGCGCTCCGGCCGGTCTGTCTAGCGCCGCCGCCATGAGCGAGACGAGCGACGTTGTTGCCACGAGGAGGACGAGCGCCGCCGCCGCCCCGAGGGCGAGCACATACGCCGTAGGTACTCCCCTAGTGTATTTGTTGATTGAATCGATATTGTTAGTATAGTAAGTTAGTAAAATAAATAAAGTTAGTATAATTAGTAAAGTATAGTTAGTAAAGTATAGTTAGTAAAGTTAGTTAGTTTAGTTAGTATAGACAATATAATAAGTTAGTATAGATAGTAAAGTTAATTAGTTTAGTTAGTATAGTTAGTGAGTCTAGTTATACGTTGTATTTAGTATAATTAGTTGTTGTAGTTAGCCCTGTATAGATGTTAATATTAGATTAGTTAGTATAGTTATAGTTAAAATATGTATTAATATTACTATGGACATTACGTACGACGATTTCGACGACTTGATGAAGTTTCTTGAAATGCTTTTATAGATGGATTGTTGTGTTAGAGTTTTTTATGGAGGAAGTGTTAGGAGAGAAGATGGTATGTTTGAGGATATGGAAGAAGAATTGGAATCGTTTGATGAACCTCCTAGCTTCAACGACCTTTGTGTCCGTTTGAATGCAAAGTTTGGCGTGATTTCACATTAAAGGGGAGATTTGATACTGGGAAGACTAGGGCACACTATGTCCTCATGCCCTTGCGCGACCCTGCTCACTGGTCCCGCTACACTAGGGTGCTCCAAGGTTCCAATGTGCCCATGGCTGAGGTGGTGGTAGAGAATGGGTACAGGATGCAGGGTGTCTTGGACGAGCCGTCCATTGACGGAGGCAATGAGCAAGATTTGGGGGTCGAAGGGGAAGCAGCTCAGGGTAACATGGATTTGGACGGTCAGTTGACGCAGGAGCAGTTTCATTCAAGTCAAGTAGGCTATATAAGCAATGATTTCGATGTGAACGAGTTTGAACTAGAAAGAGAGGAGGAGGAGGACAGGTTCGGTGATGTAGTTAGCAGTGATTCGGACGATTCAGATGATGACTAGGGAGATAGACATGCTATGCTCACACCAGTTGATGCCATTCCAGTACCTGTTCATGGTATGCCATTACCAATACCAACTGAGGTTTTGCATGCTATCCAGGCTCAGGGTAGACTAGTCACAGATTTGCCAGCAGATGATACCCCCTATGATTTATGGGGCAGAATTAGCGAAGCGCAGCAGTATGTTCCACCACCACCTTACACAGCGACTGAGCTTGAGCAACTAAGGTCGATGAACGTACCTTTCAGGGGCGTTCCGAACTATAGGGATATCAGCATGATGGATATGGCAGTTTGTGACACCGGTCTCCAGATGTGTATGAAATCATTGTATGACCATGAGAAAGAAACCCTTAGGAAGGGGATGATATTCAATACAATGTCAGAGATGAAGCTCTTCCTTCAGGACTATGCTGTGTATCACCATAGGCCGTACAACGTCATTCATTCGGACCAGGAGTTGAGGTACCACGTGATATGCAAAAACGGTTGTATGTGGAGGTTAAATGCACGAAAGAGAGAGTGATGGCAAGTGGAGGATAAGTAAAGTTTTCGAACCCCACACTTGCCTAACAAATAGGGGGAAGGAAAATCATTATCAGCTCACTGTACGTTACCTTGCCCGTCGTATATTGGGGCTCGTTGATGACAATAACGATATTTCGGTGTCTTCTTTATAACAGTCCATATCTAGATTCATTAAGTGTAACACCCTAGGTGTTTGGCTTCCACTAATTGCATTTCATTTCATAAACATGTGCATCATCTATCTCATCATGCCTTTGTTACTGAAACATGCATATGCAACATTTTCCAATTGTGTATGTTTCTTACTTGAGTGTTGTGAATAGTAATGGTGTAACATGTGAATGCAACCTGAGTTTCTTATACCATGAAACATGGCAACATGGTAGAAATGTGACACGTATAAAATAACCACAAGGTCATGAAACATGTGAAACATGGAATTAAAACATATGAATGAATTGCTTGTTTTAATTTCTTTATCACATGTGATCTTTAGAAGTGGTATAACAATTTTGTAAAGTGGTTGATCATGGTCTATTACACCTTAACTACACTTAGGTTACTTGTTGGGACATTGTTCATGTAGATCAAAATGACCAAAATGCCCTCAAGTGAAGGTTTGACTAGAATTGACCCTTGGAGTGTCACTGTTTGACTGATTCAAAAGTCTCACTTAGAGACTTTGCATGGTTGTGCACTCTTTACCAAAGTTGTAGCTAATTTGTCAAGGAACAAAAGTTGTTTTATGGCCAACTCATGAAAATGTGTGGAACATGGTCAAACATGGCCTGCAAATCAGTATTTCATGCTGATTTCACACTTAGAAAATATTCTAAGTCGTAGTTACATTTTCAGTTGCATCAAGCTCACTTTGGCTTCATGTAACTGCTGATCCATGGCGAATTAGGGAATGGTCCTTGAAGAGAAATATTCTAAGTCGTAGAAACATGACCTACATTTTTCTTATACACCATTTTTGCAAAGGTGCAGTAGATTAGCCATGTTGACACGTTGAAATAACGCTGTCAGTCGGTTTTCTTCGTCTGAATGGATGCTACAGTGACTGACCAATTTCAGAAAACGCCCGACGCGTGTGTGCCGCATGTCGTCGGTCGCCTGAGCATGCTGCCATGCGCCGCGTGCCTCCTGGCGCTGCTGGCCATGACAAGAGCACCCCGCGCGCCTGCCGACGCACTCGCCGCGCCATTTGCTTTTCCTTTCTCCTTCCCCGTGCGCTGCGCCAAGCCATAGCAGCCGTCTGCCATTACCGACCGCGCGTCGCCGTCGTCGTGCGCGCTCGCCACCGCAAAAACAGGTTGCCCAGTCCATCAGTAGCCTCGCCGTGGTCTCCTCTACCTTCTCCACCCCACCGTCGGTCCGATTGCGCCGTGGTAAGGGAAAAATCGCAGCTTCGTCCCACCGCCGCCATGGCTGTTCTCGCCGGCGTTGTTGCTCCACGTGAACAACCGCCACCGTGACCCTCCCATCCCCTCCTCTGCCTCGCGCTAAATCCTAGGTGCACTGCTGAAGCTCGTAGAGCCTCACGTTCGAGACGTAGCGCCGTAGCCTTCGCCGGAGCCGGACATGCCGCGGCCGTGCTCCGCCGTGCTCGTCGCCAACCCTATAGCCGTGGCCATAGAAGTGATTGAGGGCACCAATAGATGCGCACGAATGAGTTGACCGTAGTAGCACCGTTGCCTTCGCCGGAGAAGCCACCGGCGACAAACTACGCCGCCGTCCGCTCCTTTCCCCTGACTGTCTCGCTGACGCGCGGGCCCCTCCCGTTAGTCGCCGCGGCTGAGGCGGGAGCCCAGCGTGGGCCATGTCGTTGTCTGGGCCGCGCCAGCGTTGCTCGCGGGCCGCCATGACCTTTGGGCTGGCCCAGTAGCTGTGTAGGTTTTTCCATTTTTGTTTTGTTTAATTGTTTTTCACAGTTTTGGGTATAGATTCAAAAATGTGTAACTCAAGTTTGGTAGATCCAAATGTTATGGTTCCAATTTTG